GGGGTGGGGGTGTCCAGATGTGTGACATCACCTCTCATTTCTGCTTGGCTAGCCTCTTTGTGGCAGCCTTGTCTTTGTGTGTGTTTGTGAGCCTATACGATATGCATGAGTATTCTAACAGCTCCACCCGTTTATCCCGAGGGCAAAACGGGAGCAAGAGACATAGAAGATGGCGACACACAAAAACATCAATGGGCATTTGACTGTGAGCCATGCATAATTAGCAGGTTTATCAGCCAGCTGTGAAGAAATCGTATTATTCCTGTGTTTGGATTTCAGTAGGAAGAGGAGGGAAAAAAATCCTTAATGAGAACAAAAAAGACCTTTTGTTTTTATTCAACGGGGATTGAATGCGATTGGGAATGGATACGCTCCTCGATCGGCAAGATAGGAGTATATAGCCCAGGTTTATTCTTGCACACGCCTGAGCGCTTCCAATTTTCAGAGACAGGCGTCCCCGGGATCTGATTTCATTTCATATTGTTGACAAAGAGGCCAAAGCCGGTCTGCCTCCCTGCTGAGAAATGCAAACCAGATCACCGCCTCAGTCTTATGCTGTGCCAAGAGGGAGCGTGTACATGTGTGGTAAATACAGAAAGATGTATACCGTTCTGTATTCCACTCATGCACACAGTGGAGCATGAAGACAGAGAGCGGGAAAAGGTGACAGAGTGAGACTGACAGAGGAAAGGGGAGATGGGGCAGGGGTGTCATGACATGTGGTTGCGACACCCACGCATGCACGCACAAGTAAAACCACATGCCAGCTGTTGCAGCCAGCCTTTGGCGTTGCAAAATGGCATTACTTTGGCTCACAGATCAACGGTGCTGATCTGTGATAAAGATCCCATTGCCCATCATTATTTCCAGTGGTGGCCGTTTATTTTCATTCATGCCTCCTTGTTTAGGAAAGGGTCTCATCCAGAAGAGATCTGGCCTTTGCCGAGAATAAACGCTGTTTTTATGGAATGATACTGTTATTAAAAAATAAATAAAAAGCTATGCTCATCCACTTGACGCTCATCAGAGCCGTGACCTTCCAAATGGAAAATGTAAAGCCTCTGACTCCAAAGGATGTTATGCTTCTCAGTCAAACAATACTTAGTGTTCTGGAGAAACTGCAGCCGTGTTTATCCAAACAGAGCAGTTTATTAATGGAATTAGTGTAAAAGTGAGGGTATGCGGCCACAGGATGTTGCCTCTGACCGCTGGAGCGCGACGGTAGTTCATTAATCTTTCAGCAAAGCTGCCTGCAATATTTATCAAGGAAGGGATTTATGTTGATAACAGTGGATTAGAGTACTACGGTGAAGTAAGAGAAGATAATGTATTAAATGTTGTATATGTATGGTGAGTGCGAGGCGACACGCACCAGGATGTGTCTGCTTAAACATAGTTGGCCTTAAAATGAGTTTGAAGGAGAAATTACACAGATGGCTTCGGGAAAGGCGACAGTAGCTGTGAACAATGTTTTCCTTCTGGACTTTTCATGCTTAAAGTGAAGAATTAAAAAAATATCCATAATAGGGTACTGCTATGATTTTAAATGAACATCAAATCTAGGATTATAATCTCATTACGAGGTGTCATTATCACTTAACATAGTTTTTTTTTCTTTTTTAAAAACACAATACTGAGGAAGAGAAACGATCATTTCCTGACTTTCCAAGCGCTTTAGCGTTTTTGGAGGGGCTCATTCTTACTGTACATATGATACAAATATGTAAATATATGTAATCTGTTCAGGGATGCTGGAAATGTCAACCCTGGAGCTAAACATTTCACCAACCTCAACCCTTAACTCACACCAAATGCATTAAAGCAATAACCAAAACTTCTCAAATTTAGAAAAAAACGAATAGAGGAAAAAAAAAAAACACCCACACCCCAGCACACTTCCTGGAACAAGAGTCGCGCATCTCATGCAGATCAAAGGGAATTAAATTAAGGGAGAGGAAAGCAATCATGTCATATCTTTGGAAGAGGGTAATATGATCTGTCCATCCTGACACTGAGAGTGTGTGTGTGCAGCTTTGTGGTCTGAAGCTGACCAGCTACGACCCTTTTTCTTACTCAGATGGTTTATATATGTATATATAAATTTAATCTGCCTTCACTACTGTCACTGGGCCATTACGATGAATCAGACGTAATCGGACAGGCGCGTACACGAACGCGCACACGTAAAACCACACATGCGTCACTGCTCGAGATCCATTACACCGGATTACAGATCAAACAGTCGCAAACTCCAGGACACTTTTCATATTAGACAGACGCACGAAAATCTCTTGGTACATATCGATTGTTGAACAGAAATAAACATCAAACGCAATCGTGTCAAGTTCTACATCCGTCAGTCTTACCGTGGCAGGGAGCTGTACTGTCGCTGCGCCTGGGTGAACGAGTCTCTCTCCTCCTGCCTCTGTCTTTGCATCTGCACCTCGACCGACACCGAGTGACGGCCTGGCTGGCTGTACCCGCCTGGACCGTTGCTGCTGGTGTTTGACTGAAAACATGAGAGCGGCAGCTCAGTTAGAGCTCAGAACACAATCACCGCGCATATAATCAGAGACATCCTTTAGTTGTCTAGCTGCTACACTTTGATGCCAATCCACAGAAGATACTAACTAATGAAAATCACAGAAAATGTCCATTGGGTTAAAAATATTGCATAGAAATCGAAAATATTTTGCTGATCTCAGTGCAAAACATGTCTTGAACCAGCCCTCATTTCTTTATATTTTGCTCCCAAGGGGCCACACGTTCTTGTAATCTTTGTGGTCTTGAGCCAATGGTTCTTCCGGCTTTCTGAAGGTCTTTCAAAGTCTTTCTCTGGACTTTGGCTGCTTTTCCCTCATTTTCAATCCAGTCCTTGTATCTGAAGTCACTCAATACTTATCTATCAATCATTCAAGCACCTTAAAAAGGCACCCAACTCGAGGGACGGGCCGGTGTTTTGTCTACACATAACAGACAATTTAGCAAAGCCGATTAAATTCTTTAGCTGAATGTGTAAAAAACTGCTAAAGATGACACTATTTCACTGTGTGGAGTGTGTTCTTGAAAATAATTGAGGAAACTGATAAGTAGAGGACAAAAGAAGAAGGAGTAAGTCTAAAACACTACCTAGAGTAGATGAGCAGTATCTGAAAGTCACGTCCTTAAGAAAATGGGGCGGGGGAGAGATCCAGCAAAGACCTGACACAGGACCTGATAGATGCATCCTGGCCCTTCATCCATCTACTGTTCACTGAAGCCTCATCAGAAATAGTCTCAGTGGAAGGGTGGCTGTCAAGAAGCCATTCTTAAGGAAGGAAAATGGGGAGAAAGGCTGAGGTATGCCAAATTATACAAGAACTGGACTGACAATCTTATGGAGGAGGTCAGGAGAGGCCCAACAGTGTCTGAGTGTAAAATACACTGGAGCCTCCGTCACAGTTTGGAGCTGCATTTCAACCAGTAGTGTTGGCAATTTTAATCCACCATGCAGTACCATCTAGAAGAGGGGTTGGAAACTCCAGGCCTCGAGGGCCGGTGTCCTGCAGGTTTTAGATGCCACCCTGGGTCAGCACACCTGAATCAAATGATTAGTTTATTACCAGGCCTCAGGAGGACTTCAAGACATGCTGAGGAGGTAATTTAGCCAAATCAGCTGTGTTGGATCAAGGACACATCTAAAACCTGTAGATCTGGAGTTCCCCCACCCCTGATCTAGAAAGTCTCTGATTCAGCATGTCACTGACGCCAAACACCAGTCATGGATTGGCCTCCCCATAACTGAAGCTGTGCGGATCATCTCGACTGAGAAAAGAACCAAAGGCAGCCAACATCCAAGAAAAAGCTTCGCAGGTCCTCCAAGAAGCCTGGAAAACTATTCCTGAAGACTATTCAAAGAAATTAGGATATCATGCCAAATATCGACTTTCAAGCTTGCTACAATTGTACCAACTCTATGTTTGCCTTCAATACTACATTTCAATTTGTGATTGTACACATTTCATTTAATTACTGACTGCTGCCCATTTGCTAGCAAAATATAAAGAAATGAGTGGTGGCTTGAGACTTTTGCACCATATTGTAACTAATAAAGACATTTTGTTTATGTACTATAATTACATAATCCACAGATTTTAAAATTTGGTTAAAAAATGATGTATAGGAATCTTACAGAATTCAGAGATATTCTGCTGATCACAGTGCAGGACACTGTCTAACTGCAAATGTGTCATAAGTAACAGAACTGTTTCTTCTCAGATTAGTTATTGACACAATCAACCTGTATCAAAGTGTTTTGAAATATAAATAAGAGCTAAAATGTCTCACCACCTTCTGTATCACCCTTTGTGGCTCTAACATGAGCATAAGTGCTGCTGGAAATGTCCTTGCAACAAAGCAAAATTGTCAGTAACGATGTGTTGATCAGAGCACTGCTTGTACTCATAAAAGCTAATATGACTCTGGGACTTGTGGGAGTTTTACGCTCCCAGTGTTAAATAAATACTGATGACTTTTTTGTGTCCCGTTAAATATTTATGGGGCTGAAGAGCCTCAAGGAATGCACGAAAGACTAACATGCCAACATGTAAAGTGAGTAGAAGAATTTTGTTTTTTATGTGAACTGATAATCACTGGAAACTCAAACTATATACATCAAATACACATACATGGCACATGTATATACAGCTGTGGCTAGGCTACAAAACTGTGGTGAATTTCATGCTGTTAATATGCAAAATCCTTAAAGAAATTTTTTTTTAGTTTTCTTGATAGGCCTCTCATAAATTAGTGTGGCGAAAACACCACATTGCCTGTATAATAGCACACATCAATACATATTTTTATGAAAATGGCATTTTGTTCTGAAAACTAAACTGCCACCGAGTTATATTTGCACGGACATCTTGACTTAAAATAGAGAAAAGAACACACGATCCCTCGGTACAAATTCAAAGCATGAAAATCACCACAACTTGGAGTTCGAGTTTCCTCACAGTAGCCCAATAAAACTAGCAGCCATCCCTGACACAAGATACCCTCACAAAATCTCCCCATCGCACCCCTCCGCCCGCCCAAGCCCAAACCGCAGACACTTACCAGCAGTTAGTGGGGCAGACACACCCTGAGCTCGTCTCTTCTCAGGTCAAAATGAAGGTGAGTCACACAGACAGACAGGGAGGGAAGGTGATGTGAGAGAGGAGGGGGGAGCCATGCTGGAGACTCAGAAGGGTTACACAATGAGATGTGATGGATGTTAGTGGGTGTTAATGAAAAAGACAACACCTGACATCGTGACAGTCCTCCCCATACACGAACACCTCCTGCGTTCCTGTTATCGGGCTGTGGTAGGTATGTGCACTCAGACACAGACAGCTGGGATAAATTTCAATTTTGTGGTAGCAAATAGTTCATGACTGCATACAACGGCGTGATTCAGATAGGCACGTACACATTTTTACTGCTCAACTGTGAGAATTTCTTAGCCCAAAAGAGGTTGACTATATTGAAACAAATGCCTTCGTATTATTCGTTGCCCCGGCATGCCTACAAAGAAAAGTATCAATATCTGTTCCCTAGTAGCGATACTTACAGGCAGGGGGAAGAAATAACCCTGACATTATGGCCTTGCAATTCCTCTCCATTTTTTCTTGATGAGATATATGTCCTAGGCTGCTGCAGTTCAAACAGGGATAATAGCACACATTATGATACACCGTCTCCTTAAAAGCACTCACCAAAAGAGACGTAGCAGTTGCAAACTTGTGATAGAAGCTCAAATCTTGCATATTTTTGCGTGTTGGTCAATGCTAATTTGCCTAGGAAAGTGCACACACCTGATTAGCAGATATTTCCTCCACTAATTCAGAAGTTGGAAAGGTTGTACCTTTTTAGCCATTCACAATCTGATAAATGCTTCATTTGGAGTATAATTAGCTTTTAACCTTAATCCCCTTTATTGCAACTACAAGCCTAATTCATATCCTTAACCTGATCGTAACCATAACCCAAACATTGTTAAAATATGCAAGGGCAGTGCAGATCATACTGGACCTCACAAAGGCATACACACAAGAATGCATACAGACTCTCAGAAACCTCAAGTTTCACCTCGAGGTTCAGCCCACACTTGTACCACAACCCCTCTTCCTGCAATGCTCATTAGCTGTGTGGGTGCAATAACTGTGTGCAGATTAGTTGCAACACAAAGCCAATCTAATTACTTTTATGGCTGTGCAACGTATTGAGAGCCTGGTGGGAGCAGTGTGGACATCAGTTGGTGGGAAGGCCATAAAACGATTAAGAGTGCTAACGAGGCTCGCCTTTATACCAAATGAAGCCGGGGCAATCATCTCTGGCACCGAGTGGCGCTGGATTGTGGTTCGGCTGACAATAAAGGAGGAGTGAGTGCCTATAAAGCCCGTATTCCACATGTGAATTTAAAATGCTCATAGGAGAAGTTCAGGCTTAACATTTTTTCCCTCCACTTGAGAAAAAAGAAAAATCCCTTCAGGGAGTGCTGAATATTCTTGGGAATGTTTTCTCATTCCTAAACACAGTGATTGCAGAGGGGAGTGGAAAATACCCCGAAGGAGGCCAGATAATAGCAGCATTAAAATGTTACAGTAAAATACAAAAGGCAATATCGTACCATTTCTAAACCCCCAACATCAACTGAATGAACTCCTCAGTTCCCGTAGTGGTATAAATGAGTGCAATAAAGCTCGGCGCGGTGCTGCCGAGAGGGTGAGCATCAGTCATCGTTGATGGAATTAGACCGTTCTACCCACAATCCTCTCCTGCTCCCCAAACTATGGAGAAAAAGGAGGAGAGGGGGCCCATCACAAAGAACGGATATATTGACCCAACGCATGTGGCTACATATGGATGGCTAAGAAATAACTGTTTATTTAGTCATCCATATTTAGAAAATGTATAATTGGGTGGATGAGAAAGACAGCTGCAGATATCAGTCGTATCAGTATGGTGTGACACTGTGGTCAATAACTCCCAGTTTAAAGAAGAGAGATAACAGAGTGAATTAGGGCTGGATCATTCGAACACCAACTAATCTCTCTGTTTTGCATTAATTTGTAGATTATTGTTTCATGAAATAACCAAAAGTATAGTCTTCTTTTTTAGGAGGTGGATAGTACAGCACAAATTTGAAATTTGCAATGGTTAAAAACCAGATTCCCACAATTTATATTTGGCAAGTTTGCTTGAAAATGTTAAAACACTGAGCCAAGTTTTTGTCCATTAATTCAATAAATCTACTCTATTAGTTATTCCAGCAAGGAAAACCACTGCTGCCCCTATAAATCTACATATGGTGAACAAAGGCAACTCTATTTTCATTTGCATCATACAGCATTACAATTTTCTACTATAAAAAAAAGCAGTAGCAAATGGCACCATCTCACTGTTCTGGCAAAGACTAAGTGGGGCAGATGTAGGTGAATTAACAAAAAGGACGGTGGCTCCTTGAGGTTTGCAGCACATCACTCGGATGAAGCAAGAAAACGTAATAAATGCACGGCAGAGGTAATTGAATTTCAAAGAAACGTTCTCCTGTTTTCCATATGGCCCACAAGTATGGCCAGAGCATGAGTCTAATAACATGCAATTACTATAGAAAGCCTGAGTGTGGGCTGCAGTCTGACAAAGTAAAAGGGATTTAACAGGCTGTGGAACTGAAAAGGATTGCTGGGAGAAATCTGTGCTTGTCAGGTTTATTTCCAGACTAATTAAGCTTTAATAATAATACACTTGACACAAAGATTTTTTTCATGTACCAATTTATCGGGTAAAAAAAAAAAAAGAACAAAACATTGTAGCTGATGGAATATCTAATTTTTATGGGTAACTAACACTACTTTCCATGATTTCGATGGCAATAGAAAGTACATTGCAACTAATATAAGAAAAAATGCTGCAACGGCTCTTTAAACGAGAGCACGCTCAGTAGCTTTTCAGACAAAAGGAGAGATGACCTACGCTCTTCTTTCCCACACGCTGCTGCTTTTCCTGTACAAAGCTGGTTGGAATGTGCACCAGTCCATCTACCCCATTTACACACAGGACACTGGTTAATACTGCCAAATGCAAAACACTGCTGCACACATTTGTTGGGCTTATTAGTTAGAAAAGAAAGAGCCAGAACACAGAGGATATGGTTCATGAGCTCTCACTTTATCAATTCATTTCAATTATAAGTCACAAGGGTTAAATTTTCCCATTGCACATCAAAAGACTGAGCAAAGTTACAGTGGGAATTTCTAGTTTATACACCAACAATTAAAAAAACAAAAAAGTTCATACAGAAATATACAAAAACATTTGTGCGAAAACACCTTGTAGAGGGAAAACGCTAACAAGGGCGCTCAATGTTATTCCTTATGGACAACACACTGTCTGGTATGGGACAACCCACATTTGTGCTACCTACCACCATAACACACTATTTAAAATTATATGTATTGTGTTATATATATTAGAATAAGTTGGGAGGGACTGTGTGTTAAAACAAAAATGTGTGTTGTCCCGCACTCAGCGCAAGTATGTGAAGACATTTCATTTATAACACACACTCTACCAATTACAAAAAAAAGGAATAAAAATGATGTATAAGGTTTAAAATCTGCTACAGTTTTCTACTAGAGTTCATGTAAAACCAAGTACACTTGAGGTGCAGCGCCAGGAAGCAAGAAGGACTAAAATAAATACTAAAAATATGACAAGTGATTGCATCAGCTCAAAAAACTTTGAAGGCATTCAGATTTTGTTCGCTTATAATTACCCCTTGTTGCTTCAGAATGCACTCGTTATCCTTCTCCCCAGCTAATGCAACTTTGATTTAAAGCAATGTCCGTTAAAAAGCACATAGCTCTCACTTGAAACTGTAAGAAGGCACAGGTCGAAAAACAGGTGACCCCCTATACAAAGAAACAAAATGGAAATGACCCAAATCCATGAGGTGGTGGGCGGGTCCATGTGGATGACTGACACACAGAAAATGAAGACGATGGATCAGTACAGCAGGTCGTGACAGGTGGGTGGGGTTAGTGATGGTTGTGTCAGGAGGTGTGAGGACTCCTGCATGCAGACGGTGTTAGCATTAGCACAATTAGCCATGAAGGCTAATGGAGGTTAATGGTAATCCTCAAGTGTAGAGGACCATCAGTCTCGTTCATGGCTGCTAGTAGTGGGGTTAGTGACGGTAAGCACCATTAGCCACAGGTGCAAACACTGTTAGCATTCTCCTCAGGCTAGCACTTGAGTCTCGGCCTGGTAGATAGCGGTCGTTTCTGGACAGTCTTACAGTTTAGCCGTCTTCTCGGCCCAGCAGCGGATTTTAGTTACAGGCCCCAGTGATTTTAGACACTCACCCAGGGCTGCTCGAAGCTGTAGGTCCTCCTGCGATCATCTGGGTCGTCCGGGACATTCTGGGCCTGCTGAAACTCTTGCCTCAGCCTCTGTATCCGGTCGTGGTTGCTGGGGGTTAGTCTGTTACTAGGGAGAGAGCAGGGAGAAAAAAGAGAGAGGGTGGAGGGAGATGGATGAGTGTGAAAGGTCCATTGTTAACAAGTGACCTGATTCCATCAGCAGGCAGAAATGGCCTGCAGGATGATGTTCTTTAAAGTCCAGCGTGTTTTGTCCATGAATTGATCAAATGCACTGTTGACACTGGCAAAGCACCCGGATTTACTCAACCCAGATAAAATGTAAAAAATGTGATAAAGTGAGGCCGGAGCCAAGAGCGAGCTTACAGCTGAGCCAACAGCAATATGAATCAAACTAATGTGCTTCTGATGTATTATTCAGAACATTGAACAAAGACTAGTGGTGAACGGTGAGTAGTACTCCAACATCCCCACGCCCCCACCCCATCCTTCCCATCGCAGCCTTATATCATTCATCCACTGCGCTGCTATTGTCTTTCGCAGCCCTGTTTACATCAAACAACGCTGCTGTCAGTGTAACTTCCTCATGGTACAACGAGTAAATACACTCACACTGGTCATTCATAATAACTCTACAACTGCAACTATATTAGGAATTACAGAGTCTGAAATGCTCAGCTATAACACCGTGAAGTGTGTGACTAAGTGTGGGACTAATAAAGGTTTATCTGACCTTATTTCTCCTCATATACATATATATACATACACAGATACACAGATAGATACACAGATACACAGATACACAGATAGACAGATACACAGATACACAGATAGACAGATAGACAGATAGACAGATAGACAGATAGATAGATAGAGTGAAATTTAGATTTTGAAAGTTAGTCCCTTTCACCAACGGTTTGGACCATGCGTCATAAATCAGTCCTAAAATTTAGCCATTTTATTTCCATTGACTTTTCTGCATTTCACCATAAAGGCTTTTGCGTCCTCATGAACACAGAACGGAGAGAAATCTATAGACCTAAATAGAAACGAAACGATGGGGTAGTGTTAAATTCACATGGCCTCCTACAGAGGAAAGTAATTAACACATTTTCCCTCTCACACAGTGTGAATGAATAGAAGTGTTGGACTCTAAATGAAGGAGCAGCGGGTGACTGTGACTCTGAGCTTGACTTTTCAACTTTGCAACTTTTGCCAGGAAATTCCTGTGGACTTTGTTATCTCTCAAACTCAAAAGGTCCAGCCTGCAACCTTTTCAGCTTTTTCAAATCTTCTCCTGACTGAAGACGGGGAGCGTTAGGGTCAGCATAAAAAATTCCAAACTGCAACTGGTAAGGGTTATGATTAAACTAAAGTTAAAAAAAACATAAAATGCACGCTGTGCATATGCAAAAAAGGAAGAAGAAGAAATCCCAGAGCAGCTGCACATTTAGAATAGACTTAGAATAACAGTTTGTCTTTATTAGGTCAACGTATGACTCTATGTAGCATAAAATTACTGCGTAATTCATTTCATCCATCACAAACAGCCAGAAAGAGAGCCCTAATGGCATAACCTAAAACACAACAGCACCACCAACTTAGCCAGCTATCAACTCCAGACACACAATAGAAAAGCCAGAGGCGGTCAGCCTTGTTAAAGACCAGGAACCTGCCATATGCAATCCAGCTAATCTCCATGACATGTAACACAGCTGCTTGGCCTTTCTGTAACTCAGCTGAACTGATGTGTGACCTTTTGACTACGGGTCAAAAATGCAATGCCAGCTTTAGCAGAAAGGCTCATATCTAATGTATGTAAACAGATGCCTGTCCAAAACAAAAGAAAGAAATGGTTTGTTTTTTTTAAATGTAATGTTTGTCAGATGGAAGCTGTTCAGTCTTCCGAGGCTCAACCTTGTAATAAAAAAATCGTATCAGCTGATATTACAGAATCCTGCCCGAGAGACTAAAGAAAACAGGAACTCAAATAAAGGGATCAAAGATCTCCAATCTTTGACAAAACGCTGTAAATCAATCAAAGAAAGAGCAACACAACAATACAACTGTACTGCCAAAACACCCCAGAGACCAGGAAGAACAGCAGGCTGAAATTTAGCCTGAGATGAGCTTCATCGTCTGGACAGACTCACTCAATATCTGGCACTACTGTATGAGGCTGAAAGGTCACTGTGAGGCTTTGTGGAGTGGAGTGTCTCTGGGACTCAATAAGAGGACTGTGGCTTGCTGACTGGGCTGCCAGCAAAGCTGTTTACGCTGAGATGCACCCTGCCTTTCATGGTCGGGTGTGCCTCCTGAAAAGCTGTCTGTCTCAGCCTTAAGCCTGGCAAGGAAGGAGCTTTGGGAAGATGTAATGTCTGCACTGTGGGCAGACTTTGACGACGCTACTACAATATGCCCTAATGCGGCGTGTTCAAGCAGAGGGATTGCTCAAAAAGAAGCTTTGAGAATAAAATCAAAACTTGTGTCTTTTTTAAAATCCTTGGCTATAATTTGGGTCAGGAAGTCTGTAAACTCTGTGGTAACTTTGACAGATGCTTAAAAAGAAGAAATGTTTGGGGGGGAAAGCTTTACCGCTGACCTTTTCTCTGCCAAATCGCCATCTAATCAAGTCTAAATCGAGTGATAAATCCAGTTCAATCACTAGGCAGAGGGATGACATTAACATTACAATACCAAGAAAAATCTGTAATCTGCAAGTAGCAGATATCGATTACGTTGTTTTTAACAGCTTGAAAATACTGACTTTTACTTTTAACTGATCCAGATAATGGAGGCCCCGAGTCCAAACTGTAAGCTTAATGAGCTTACAATATTGATTCAATGCATAAATGGTATGACGTAAGATTATTCTCTTCAATGTGCTGCGATTAGCTGTTAATTTTGTGTATCACTCTGTTAAGTTTGCTGGCAGCAGCAGAGTGACGACTTAGAGTGATGTCATTTCTACTTAGTAAACATTCTTTAACAAATTACAAAGTGCAGCTTGGAGTGATCATTACCAAAAGACCAGAGTTTGCTGAAGATGCATCAGAATTAACGTTAATTATAGCTCATATAATCTTCTTTGGGTTTTTTTTTGTTTTTTTAAAACAGAAGTAAGCAACCCTGCAGGTTACAAACAAGAATACTGGCACTCGGTAATGCAAAAATACTTATGTATTTATCACAATATACATTTGAAAATTTGCGATAATGATATAACTGACGATATAATTGACACGAGACAAAATCTCCACAACTTTATTAGTGCAAAAAAAACCCCATCAATGTATTTTCACTTAAACAAGCAGCTGTTTTTTATGTGCATTAAAGTTATATAAAAATTTAACAGTGCAAATGCAAATTCCTCGCTGACAGTTTAACCAAAAGGCATTTCCAGTGGAAACTGGCCGACATATCCTCAGCATAACCATGTAGAATATCCACAAAACTGAAAAAGAGGTTATACACACACAATATGATAATATTATGTTGAAGCACAGTACGTATCACTCCACGAGGCTCCTGCCTACGGCAGCCGTAATGCACCGACAATCCATCAAGCGGTGCGGCTTCGTAGCTTAGCAAAGTCGTACTAAAAACATTTGACAGATTTTCGAGGGCCGTGTACATAAAATCATTTCCAGGTCAGTAAGCACAACCAGAATTCATACATAACGCACACGGGATTACAAGGGGCACTGTCGATTTTCAGAAAAATCAAAGGATTGATTTGAAGTGTGCCGTATTTCCCGAAAAACACGGTAATAACGACGGCCCGCTAGCATACTCTACCAAAAATAGTGCTTTGTTGTGTATCTGACGGACGAAAGCTAAACCAGTTCCACACTGAAGTTGCGGCATTTTTACAAACCAATTCTGGTTCATCCGTTTCATTCAACGATCCGATTTCACCCTCTCATTCTCCGTCGCCGCCATGCTTTTTCCGCCATGTGCGTATGAAAACAAAGGCACTGCACATGCACATTATACCCATATTCTATCGCGATATTTTATTTTCTTATCATTGCCTAACATTATACCGGCATTACCATGAACGGTTGACAATGCTGTGGTCTTAGAGCTAAGGAATACAAATTCAAGATTTAGGTCTTTAATAAACACAATTTATTCTTGAAATCTGGCCTGTGTTGCAGGCAGTCTTTTTGATCTCAGAGCCACAATATGTATGAAAAATGCAGCCAAGACACTCAAAACAAGAACCCAAACTTTATGAGCAAGATTGATTTAAGGCAGGCATACAAAGCCTTTGCTTTATTTGGCAGGGAAGAGGACTTCCAAACTAATAGGATTAGAAGATATGGGCTGTCACCTCAAAATCCCACATGACTCTGGCACTGCTTTCACAGATCCCAATCAAAGCATGCCAACAGAGAAAGGGAAGGTGCAATGTACAGTAAGTGACAGAGGCAGCTGATAGGCAGCGCTTTAATCCTGCAGATTACAAATGAATGGCCTCATTCACAATGTGCGCTCTTCCCATGTCTTTAACATCCTTCAGACCTACCAGCAACTGTATAGGGGCATAAATTTTACAACCATCGCTTAGAGGACTTGGCAACCTTTAGTGGATCGATGTGCTCTCGAGATGAATGCAAAGCAGCGGGTGTCCGCGCAGTTGAGAGCACTAAAAGAGAAACGACTGGAAACGACCTCACGGCCCGCAAAGACCATCTGAGCATGTACAGCCTGCTGAAGTTCAGAAGCCTACATGGTGGGAAGATTCAAGTGGATCTTGTGTCTGTTTTGTGACGAGGGCCCTTGTGGCGAGTGGTTACAAGTGGGGTGACCTTGAAGATACAAGAGCAGCATTGTTGGTTCACACTTCAAAGTATTAGATGAATGCATCGCCCTGAGCCAAATGCACCACCGTGCAAACGAAAACCCCAGCCAAGACTACTCAGTGTCTTAAATGTTAGTGCCTTCAATTCGAGCTTACTTCATTACACTCCTTTAACTTAAAGGGCATCTTTTGCCCTTTAAGCAAATTAACAGTTGCTGACTCAAAAATAAATCTCACCTCCCTTTTAATAACGATAGAATATCACAGAACGCAACCCCTATCTATTTAATTTGGCAAAAATC